CCTCGTCTTTAGAAGTTTTTAAGTCTGTAAAAAAGAAGTTTTTGAGGAAGAAGAAGAAGTAGTATTGGTTTTGTTTTTTTAGAAAATATTATACTTTAAAGCATCACTATATGGCCCATTTACCGGTTTAATGCATAATTAAAGAAAACAATTTCCGAAGTTGAGAGGACCACAGCAGCGGACCTCTGAGGCTAACGGCAGCCCGTCTGCAGCGGCCCTCTCTCAACATAGCCTTGTGTGAAGGACCGCTGGCTCTGATGCTGATTTTTGACTCAGCTTTGGAATCAGTTTTGGAAGGATTAGACTTGGGGTTTTCGTTTAAACGTGAGCAGGAAGAGGTTCTATGCTCAGTAATTTTTAAGAAGGACATATTCGCCGTTTTAATGACAAGCTGTTTACAGTCCCCCACCAGCTTTCTGTCACACTTACTACGCCACAGTCATTTGCGCTCATTGGTCAGAGCGCTGGCCAATAGGCACAGACATGGTTTGAAAAACAACGGGTTGTTCTCATTAACAACCTTCCGATGTCTCATTCATCAGGGCCAGACTAAATTAGACGTTTAATCTCACATTTAGTCTGGTTTACCAGGCTAGCTGTTTTCTGTAATATGAGGGAAAACAAGGAGGAAATGTAGATAACAAAAAAAAAAAAAAAATTGAACACCTACTTGGTCACTCTGTGCAAAAGAAAAATGGTCCTCTTGCTTTCGATGGTGACGTCCCGACTGATTTTAACAAGGCGTTCATATTTGTCGTGTTTGGTGTCCAGCTCCTGTTGGAAAACTTTAAAGACAGAAAGTTTTAATCTTAATTTATAAAAGAGATGTAAAGACATTAAACAGTGGTGTGGAACTGCTAAAGATGTAGTGACCTTTAAATGCAGCGACGATTGGCGAGGACGGGTTGGCATGCACATCATGCTCCTGTGCAGCTTCAACATTTCTCCGTGACCATCCTTCACCTGACACAATGCAGACACAAGGGGTTTCGGATTATAACCACTTCTGCAACTCATTGCCTCTTTTTAAAATACTTTTCTGACATCAAGGGAGAATTACAGAATAAACCCTGTAAGCCAGCACTGTTCAACACCAGCCTAAAAAACATACATCTTCATCACTTTCAAATTTCTATCTATATCCACAATTTGAGGCTGTTTATACTCCCATGCTGGAGGCCCAACTTTACATAGATTTCAGTAAATACATGTGAGGGATAAGAGCCTGGTTTTCTTTAATGGTGGAGATTCTTCCTCTCAGCTTTAAGGTGGATTCAAGCATTTATCTTAATCTCAATCTGTGCAATACTGCACTCACAAAGAACTGTCTGGATTAGAAAAACCATAACAGATGAAAGTAAGCCGGAACGAAGACTGCAACTAAAGATCTATTTGCAAATCGATTAATCGGTCATTTATTTTCTCAAATAATCAATTTAATAAGCAGATAGAAAAAAGGTTCCTTAAAGATTTGTTTTGCAAAATTAAAACCAGGTGAAACTAAAACTTTTCCACTTGAAGAATTTTGGATAGAGCAGATTGACAGAAATGCAAAATCTTGATCTATATATATATATATATATATATATATATATATATATATAGTATATATAAACTATATTTATAAATATAGTTTCAAATATATAGAAACAGGTTATTGCAGAGGGTATCAAGTAGTAAATTGCACATTATACATTGCACAACTTATTGTTGTTGTTGTTGTGTCTCATTACAGTCTGGTTGTAGACTCTCTGGTCAGTCTCATTAATTTAAAATTGACTAAAGGATTTAACCCTGAGCTGAAATGACAGTACACTGGATTAGTAACAAGGACAGTTAAACATCCATGGCTGAAGTAAGCTAGTGATAAAAATAACAAAAACATGGATGTTTAGCTTTAGATAATAAAGCAGCTTATTCTGGGAATCTTAATAATACTAATCTAAAAACTGGATGTATCTGGACTTACCTTCTCGCTTATTCATCCTTTCAGCGGTTGTAGTTTATATATTTTTTTACTAAAAAAAAATGTCGCCTCTAGAGAGTCAAAAAAAATGTCGATTAGCTTTGGTCTTCGATGCTCCAAAGAAAATAAAACCAGTAGTTTTTTACTTTCTGCAGGTTTTCCTAAAGAGAAAAACTCTGCATTTCAATCACTAACATCTTCCTTGGTCGAAAAACACTTAAATTACACTTCGAGGCAGATTAATTTAGGCTACTTGTTTCTTGGTAGCAGGCGTTCATGCGGCATCCACGGGGCTTCTGCGCTGTTTACAGGCGTAACAGCAAAAGGCGGAGCAGTGCATCATGGGAAATGTAGTACCACTGGGTGTTTTTAACCTCAGCTTGCATATTTGCAATATATTTCATAGTTTGGTACTTTGATATAGCTCAGCTCAGTGCAGCTTTGTGCTTTGCGTTTGGTTTTTATTTAATCCTATTTTTGTGTTTTTTCCAGTTTTTTATTTTGATTTTATTTTGAATAACTTCTTTTTAAACCCTTGAGAACAAAGTAAATTTCAAAGCGCACATATAATACATCTGAATGTGACTAATCATATAAAATGCAGCTAAATATTGTTTTAATTTAATATCTGGAAGATGTCAGAATTCTGACTTTCCTCTCAGAATTCTGACTTTAATCTCAGAATTCTGACTTTCTTCTCAGAATTCTGACTTTAATCTCAGAATTATGACTTTCTTCTTAGAATTCTGACTTTTTTCTAAGAATTCTGACTTTAATCTCAGAATTCTGACTTTCTTCTCAGAATTCTGACCTTCTTCTCAGAATTCTGACTTTCTTCTTAGAATTCTGACCTTTTTCTCAGAATTCTGAATTTAATCTCAGAATTCTGACTTTTTTCTTAGAATTCTGACTTTAATCTCGAAAGTCTGATTTTAATCTCAGAATTATGGATCCTAATGTAGATGGGCACCATGAAGGAAGAGATGTGAGAGCACTCAGCTTCACTGACAAATATGTCAGTTGTTTGGGAGGGCCAGTAACACATTGGTGGAAAATAACGAAATTAGGCAACTTTTTACGTGCCCGAGGGGTTCCCGGTGATGCTATTTGATGGAGGAGCAGAAGGTGATTAAAACAAGAGAGCTTGTTGACATGGCAACAGCTTGATGTGAACATGTTTGTTAGCTGTCAGAATTCAGTGAGAATTCTTAGATTAAAGTCAGAATTCTGAGAGAAAAGTCTGAATTCTGAGATTAAAGTTAGAATTCTTAGAAAAAAAAATCTGAATTCCGAGATTAAATAAAAAAGTTAACTGATTTTAAAATATTTGGGGGGGAAAAGTCAGAATTCTGACTTTAATCTCAGAATTCTGACTTTTTCCCCCCAAATATTTAAAAATCAGTTAACTTTTTTATTTTTTCAGTGGCCCTAATCCTTTTCCGTAGAGATTCCCACTTGAAAGTGTAAATTAATGTCTTTTGTTCAATATATATATTTCAAAAGTTAATTTGTCCTATATTCATGAAGCCAACACTAGGGGGGAGTGGCTTGTTTTCCTACGTCACGGTGGGCTGAGCCAGTAACAAACATTACACACGTAGCTGCGACATGCAGCAGAGCAAAAGCAACAGCTAACCCGCTGAAATGTCTCCCGGAGACCACGACCCATCTCTCAATAATCGCCCGTGGGAACACATTATAGTTTCCCTCCTCTGATAGAACGCGCGGTGACGGAATGAGTGCAGCAAAATGCCGACTTTCTGAGTTTAATTCCCCCGTTTCGCTCGGCGCAGCGAGGCAGCGGGTCTTTTTCCAAAGTTGACGGTTAGCAGCAGGGCGCGTGTGAAGGATCGGACTTAAAGGCGCAGTACACCGCCGCTGCAGCCTCCCAACATGGAGAAGCAACAGAGCGACCTGGAGCGTGAACGACAATACTGTGAACTTTGTGGGAAAATGGAGAACCTCTTAAAGTGCGGTCGGTGCCGGAGCTCCTTCTACTGCAGCAAAGAGCACCAGAAACAGGACTGGAAGAAACACAAGCTGGTTTGTAAGGAGGTGGATAGGTCTCTTATTCCGAAACAGAAGCCTGGAGACGGAGAAGGCAAGAAGCATCGAGAACAGAGTGGAGCGGATTCTGCAACCTCACCCCAACATTTAAACACAGAAGCACCTGCTCACAAGGATGGACCGGGAGAAGTGGGCTCCAACACCCCCACCACGCCGAATGGCCAGAGCAGCCTCTCCCCTCAGAAACTGGCCATGGAGTGCATCGTCCCGTGTATGAACAGGCGCGGCATCTGCGTGGTAGACAACTTCCTAGGGACGGAGACCGGACTGGGCATTTTGGAGGACGTTAAGGGTCTGTACAAGACCGGCAGGTTCACAGACGGCCAGCTGGTCAGCCAAAAGAGCGACTCCACTAAAGACATCCGAGGGGACAAAATAACCTGGATAGAGGGGAAAGAGCCTGGCTGCGAGAAGATCGGCTTCCTGATGAGTCGGATGGACGACCTTATCAGACACTGTAATGGCAATCTGGGGAACTACACTATTAATGGAAGGACTAAAGTAAGTATGACAGTAGGTACAAAAAAAAAAACATAATCTAATGCATCATCACTCAGTTTGACTCCTGCCCACCTGAACGCCTCATTCATCTGATTCACCTTTTGCACAGAGAGCCCCATTCAACATTCCTGAGTCTTAATAGATTTGCACAAAAACACCAGTAAATCAGGAATAACTCGAAACACAAAAACCGACAGAAATACTTTATCTAAAGCTAAAACAACAAAGGTATGAAGTCAAATAACCATAAGATACACATCTTTTTTTTTTGGCTCAGACCACTTTTCATTAATATACTGATTTATATTTGGGTTTTAAGGATCTAATTAGTGTTGCACCGATGCCACTTTTTTGGCCCCGATACCTGGCTGTGCAGCATCGACCGATACCATCTGGAAGAACTGCACACTGCTTGGATGTAAAATAATCAGTGTTGGGAACGTTACTTTGAAAAAGTAATTAGTTATAGTTACTTTTTGGGAGAAGTAACTAGTAACTGAGTTACTCCACAGTAAAAGAAACTAGTAAAAGTAACTATTGCGTTACTTTTGCGTTTCTCGCCCACGTAACCCTCACCAACCGGCCCCCACCTTCTCGCTGTGTGTTTCAAAAGCCAGCTGAAGAGAGCGGATGATAAAGAGAAGTACCTGCAGAGAGTTTTGCAACTCAACATAAATGACATCAGGGGGGAACGCTATCTGACAGGCCTATAAACCCTTCAAAGTTCCCCCTGCTTAACATCAGGGGGAACGGTATCTGATGCAGTGTAAATATCATCAGGCTGCATTACCTCTACTCATGGGTGTGACGTTTTTTTAACAGGGTGCTCAGATCTGGTGAGTGTATGAAGTTAATAACGGGATGACTAATTCTGAAATGCTGTGTGTTTGGGTTGTTATAGATACTGCAACGTCCGTCCAATTTCTTCCTTTCTCCTTATAGGATAACATTTGATTGTTAATGCTCTCTGTAGTTCTCCTGTGGCGCGAGCACAGAGCGGCTGTTACGCGCCTTTAGCGAGAATGCGCGTTTCCTGTCGCTTGTGTGGTGATGCAGGGGAAACCGTATCTGATGGGGAAACGCAGCTTTCCATCTGGAACGTGCAGTAACGGGGTGTCGGCAATGGTAACTGCGTTATAGTTACAGTCAAAGTAATTGGTTAGATTACTCGTTACTAAAAAAAGGTAACGCCGTTAGTAACGCAGCAGTGTGTCGCAGTGAGTCGCAGTGAGCTTGATGCAGACATTTTTGATTTATGCTCAATTTTGAGCGTGGTCTGCGCTATATGCTGTGGGTCTAGATATGGCTGAGGAAGTGGGGGCAAGTCTGTCCGACAATGGAGGGACATTGCGGCGAAAAAGAGCAGGGATCCAGGTGGAAAAAGGCTCCCAGCTTTCACGCACACCTCGCTCTTCTAGCTTGTCCAACTTCACTAGTTGCTTTCCGCAATGGCGGTCATACAAACAAAACAAGCCGGCAAGCGGGCATAGATTTGACCAATCAGAGGCCTCCTGTCTGTGGTCACCTACAATTTGGGAGAGGTGCCGCAGAGTGTCTGCGGAGGGGGCGGGGACGTCTTTGTGTTCACTGCGACACATGCAGACAACCTGGTTTGGAGGTATAAATCAGCCTTAATACAAAGGGAATCCATTAGAGCTTTTAATTGACTACCTGGAATGGATGATAATAGTTGAATAAACTTTTGGCTTTCAAAATGGTATCGGTGCTCTATTTGTTGGTACTCGCCGATACTGATACCACCATCTTAGTGCTGGATCTGGGCCCCGTCCGATTCTGGTATCAGTGCAACACTAGATCCAACCTTATCAAGGTGAGCATAGAACATGATCCAACTTTTTATTCTTGTAATGAATAGAGCATATCTTTATAATATGACTTTTAAACCTGTTGGATCAGGAAAAAAAATATTGATTGGGGCATGTTGCATTATGAGTGTCAGATGTTTCTATCAAAAACTGTCGGTCAGTGTTTAGATGCTGAAGATGGTGTAAGATATTAGCTTTGTATTTAATAAGTGAAATGACACAGTTATTTAACTGTTAGAGCAGCTGATTAAGGTTAAAATTGGCAGATTGTGATATGTGTGTCTGAGTGATTGATGCGTCTCTACATCATCTCTTTCTGCCTATTAGACTCAATTATGTGTCCCTTCAGATGAAAGTGTGTCAATTCTGACTCAGCTGGATTTCCACCACCACTAAAACGATCTTTCAAAATGAGATTTCTGTGATGAATTTGTAAAAAAAAACAAAAGCAGAGTAGGCGTGACTCACAGCCTGATCAATTAGAAATATATTACCTAGATCTTTGTATAACAACTTAAAGGTGAAGGATGTAAAGTAAGGTAAATCTGTAAGAAGATTTATTTCTTCTGCTGAACAAAGATGCAAGCCAATCAAGTGATAATTAGGCTGTTGTGAACTTTGGCACATTTACTGTTGAGTAAATATAAATTATTAATAAATGGTGCAAAATTAGTTGTATTTGACTCCTGTTTCATCATTATGAAGTTCCAATCCCCTCCTGCTTAAGTTCTAGCATCATGGTCAATAAAAGTTAATATTACTGAATAAAAGGTAATAAGGATATTGAAATAAGATATACAACAATATATGTCCAGGTATTATATTAGAACTACACAAAATTAGAAAATACGATAAGATTAGAAAATACTGCAAAAACTCCAAACATTTCTTTGTAATATTAATGCACACACACTATGATGGCAATTTATTTCCAAAATACTGTCTTTGGTTAAATAGAGGCTCACCGCCAGGCTGGTTCCAGGCCAAACAGATATACTGTTTTCTTGAATGTCCAAACTTTTTGGATATTTCTAGTTTTCTTCCTCACATATATTTACCACATTTGTAAAGTTTTTACTAATTTAGCAATTAAAATGCAACCAACCTTGATCCTAAAAGGAAAGGTTTTCTGCAGATTCCTTGAAAGAGGTAATAGTTTAACAAAAAACGGGGAATATTTCAAGGTTTATGTTAGCATATGCTGCAATCTGCCATCTGAATTTTTTCTTTTTTGCAGAATTTTCACAGCTTTTCAGTTTTTATACATTTAAGAAGGAGAAATGAAAGTATTTGACCTGCAGCTTACCGGTCATGGCTGATCAAGGTCAAATTAACAGCGTCAGTCGCTGGTTATCTGATAAGTGCGTAACTACTGGTTGAGGCTGATATTGCTTTTGATTTTAATATTTCATACCAGTGCAGCATCTGTTTTTCTACTCATTTTTAATGAGCTATTTGGTTGTACCATTTTAAGCTTTTAGTTTTTAGCATATGACTCTACGGTTCTCTGTGGTCACAACCACAATGAGTAATTGGATATACCTAAGACTGGACGATGGAATGCACATTTTGCAATTGGCAAAATGTGCATATGCAAAATAGAGTAGGAAAACCAAGTTATTCCAGAAGCTAAGGATTTAAAAGTATAAATAAGTATACAGAATACAAAAGAAAAGTCCAAGGAGATCTGAGTGACTCGTATTCCTTGATTTGATCCGTGCTGTTTCCTGCTTTTCATTTAGTTTGTAAGAAAATATACGAAACATCATAATAATGGGATTTTTTTTCTCATTGTTTGATTTTTTTTTTATTAAGTGTGTTTTACAGACTTGATGCATGCACAATTACAGACCAAGAACATCCATAAAAAAAAAAAAATGCAGGATGCTGGCATTTGCTATGCGACCCAAGGGTTGCCGGTTCAAACTCCAGCTCTATCGGTCTCAGTCCTGCCCTTGGGCTAAAAAAAAAAACACATTGCACAACTTCTGTTGCTTTGAGACCTGTGTATGAGAAAATGATGCAATTGGTGTTTTTGTTCTTGTTGTGGTTACAGTGAGAATCATTAGTCTTGATGATATCCCAGTGCATGAGTGGCCAGATTTCCTTGTCCTTGGTCATTTTGTTGCGTGTGACCTGCAGCTCTTCCTTCAACCAGATCTGGTCATTTTGACCTGGTTGCATGAGACAAACCCGGGAGGAACTGAGCAGCTCCCGGCCTTTTCCTCTTTCACCTCTCCTGGGGACAAAACTGTATGGACAGAGGCAGGACATAAGTGAGAAGAGGCTAAGGGTTGTTTAACACATTACACTCAGTTCATTAAGTTTCTTCTATATTTATTTTATTTTTGTCTGCAAAGATGTTTAAAGGAAAAAACTCACTCTGACAGAAGCTTTTTTTAGGTTTCCTTGTTCCTGAGCTTTAGGTGGTAAATGTTTATTTTTTTTAAACAATTTTTAGATGTTATTTGATCTTTGATCTGTTGATTCAGTGCTGGCTTAGAGCTTCGACTATCTTTATTATGCTGCTCCTTTTGTCCAGTTTTATTTCCCTCCAGATGGTTCCCTATAAGCATGAGTCATTATTCCAGGTTGCTCTGTTGACTTGATATTTAACTTGGCGAAAAGCTGAGTGAAAATTTGACTTCCTCGCATACTGCTCTCATTGCTTTGGCAAACAATCGGCCGGAGTATTATCAGCAGAAAACAGCATGACTTGCATAAATCGTGGGTCATGAATATCAGTGGCTCAAAGGGATAAAAAACAATGTCGGCACATTTTAGATTGGAAGAGACTACAGGGGAAAGATTTGACCCAAATAATTATTTAATGCCATTGTTTCTGTTTCCGTTTCTCACTTGATAACATTCCACAAACATTTGGACATGTTTGTTTCTCTGCAGATCCTGTATGTTTACCGCTTTGTGTCCAATATAATGTTATCAGGAAGCTTAAAGGTTTTACAAATAACATGTTTGTTGTTTGTGGAGTATACTGATCTTCCGTCATGTCGGAGGAGTAGTTTACAAGAAGCCTGCGTCATGCGTACGCCTTTTCCAAGTGGTTTCTCTTGTGAGGTCAGGTTTGGGTCGGTTACTGGCAGACGGTGACTCAAACTTCTGACTGAAAATTGCTCTTAAACCACAAAATAAAGACTTCTATCTTCATTGGGG